GAAAGACATTTTAAATGTGATAATTCAATTATCAACAGGCCCAGGTCGATTTCTTTGACAAAATCAACAGGTCACAGCTGCCATTTACTCTGATCTGAACAGTCACTGGATTAAATCCTGTTTTTCTACGATACTTCTACGTTACCAGAAATAGGAGGTTGCAGAATTATAGCCTGTTTACTACAGATGTACTGCAAATGTCAGCTCTATGTCCAGGCATATTATACTCATGAATAGGCTTTTTGTGTAGGTGTGTAAAAATTATTATATGTGTTGTGGGGTCTGGTAAACGTAGAGGCATACAACGAGCGGTACCTGAACACACAATATCCTGCACCGGCTGCATGAATGTCTTCAAAAACTCAGGATGTCTTCTTGAATCAATGATTCAGAGATTAAATCCTTTGCAACTCCATCCTTACCTGGCACAGGTGATAAGGCAACATCAGGTAAGCTGGCAATTGATTTGCCTTTACCACTGGAAAAGCAGGTTTTACCACTGGACTGTTAAAACTGATGTATAGCATAAGCACTAACTTCAGGGCATTCACACTTCTCAGCCACACTGAAGAAGAGAGTCCACCTGTTAGTAACTTCTGATAAGGGAGAAATAAAATTATTTTGGCCCATAGATAACTGAATCAGCTCTTTACCCTCTCAGAGATGTGTGAAGGTGCATGGGTGTTTGCCCAACCACTCTACATGTGCTTTATGAACTTAAAGAAGGGATATGACTATGTGCAGAGTGGGTGGGGTGTCCTGGGGTGGGTATTTTTGGTGTATGAGCTATTTGTTGCATTGTTATGGACTACTACAACAGTTTCTGTACCATTTTAGTGAGTTTGGTTTTTTGTTTCCAGTACAAGTCAAATCTGTTCCTGGTGGGAGTTGGAATCTGCCAGGGCTACACTTTGTCACAGATTATTTTCATAACATTTATGAACTTTTACAGAATATCTAGGAGTAGCCAAATTATGGATGGATTTCTCTTTGGCGGCCTCAAGATAACCTATTTGCTTTTTGCGGAAGATTTGGTTCTTTGGTTCGTAACTTTTATAGACAGAATTTTTAGGCACAGCCAAGTAGTGGAAGATATCTAGTGTGCAGCCTCAATTTCAACTCTTTGCTTTTTGGAGAGGATGTGATTCTGATGGATTTATCAAACAGTGAACTGTAGCTCATACTGGGGTTGCTTGCAGTCTAGCATGAAGGAGCAGGGAAGAGAATTAGTACCTTGAGGAAAAGGCTGAAATACCCATTTGGGTTGAAGTTACTGCCCCAAGTGGGAAAACACCACAAAACTCCCATTTGTTTAAAGAGGATTCAATTCTAGAATCATTTAAAGAGTCTTGGAGCATGGCTCCAGTGTTCTGGCAGTAATTTGCTTTATAGACACAATGTTTTATAGTGTGTCTTCTCCTAGTACAGTGGCTCACAATGTATTAGACTAGGGTTTGATAAAGGGCCAATATATGGTGATAAAACATGGCTCATATTGTAACTGTAACCAATAACCAACTCTAGATTTACATTTTCTGTCAGATTTAAACCAAAAAAAAAAAAGGTAATATCTCCCAGTTCTTGAGTCCCAATATATCTTCTATACTTTGTGTGTTACAAAAGACTGTCATTATGATCATTACTCCTTGAGGGTTTTGTTTTCAGCTCTTAGTGAAGACGCTTGCTTTTCTAAAGTTTTAGTAACTTTGGAGGTTGAAATCCAAATTAGCAGTTGCAGCTAAT